AGAGAGCCATGGGTGCGCAGCCACTCCATGGAGACAATGGTGGGCAGCCAGAAGAAGCACCACGGCGGCGGCATCCCGGGCAGCCTCAGCGGGGGCATCGCACACAACAGCGGCGAGGTGACCAAGACCACCTTCTCGGTGAGCGCATCCGCGCATCCCTCTGTCCTGCTGTCCCTCTGTCCATCCCCAGCCTGGCAGGGCACTGCGCTGCGCTGACATAGTCTGGCAGTCCCCTGTGCAGGCGGTAAATGTAGGGGTGAGGAGAAGATTCGAGCAGAGCATGATTTTATGAGTGCTGTGTTCAAGCTGGGTTTGTTTTGTGGAAGAAGAAGATGGGCTTCCTGGGGTTTTCAGCACCAAAGTACAAAGGCGATATAAAAGAAATTCTGGCATTACTTGTTTCCTAGATGTGCAGGCTGAGAATTGCGGGCAGCATAATTCCTCGTAGGATGTTTAGTCTTATGAGCTTCTAGGAAGGAGCTTTGCTCTTCAGCCTGGACTGTTCTGTGCTTTCAGCCCCCTGTACCAGCAGCTGCCGCCAAGAACCAGTCCAGGAGCCCCATCAAGCGCCGTTCGGGGCTCTTCCCTCGCCTGCACACGGGGTCTGAGAGCCAGGTGGAGAGCAGGACAAGGTGGTAAGTTTGACATCGCCCTGGACGCTAGGGTTAAAAGCGTGTTAAACATTAGAGAAGGTGTTGGTGGGTGCTGGAGACCCTGCCTGGGGCGCAGCCTCCCCTTTCCACACAAGCCAGCAATGAGAGCTGATTTTGCCATGTTCGAGGGAATGGTGCCTTGGATCCCTTCCCTCTGTTTTAAATCGAAGTGGTGGTATCCAGAGAGCATCTGTTACTCTTACAGTTTAGCATTTGGTGTTAGGGAGTATAATTTGACCATCCTTTTTAAGTCTCTTGTATAACTTGTGCAACCTGTCTCTTTGTGCCCTCAGTGACAGCGTTTCTGGAGCCCAGAAGACACCAGATTTGGGACATTCTTCTCAAGAGATGAAATCTGAAACCTCGTCCAACCCCAGCTCCCCTGAAATATGCCCCAACAAAGACAGGTGAGCCGGGAGGAGCCCCGTCCTCCTCTGACCAGAGCTCAAGACACCCTGTAGCTGACAGACCATCAGGGACTGTGTCAAACAAAACCATCTCCAGGTTTTACTATAAATAAATTTGATATTAAGGGAGGAAAAAAAAGATTCCGGTGATTCATGAGCACAGCTCCTTTATGGTCTGAAAATAGCCATCTTTAAAAAGAGGAGGAGGAAGGAGCAGTGTTTGACAGAAGTTGCCCAAACCCTCACGGCACGGGAGCTGGGGAGGCCCATGGTGCCCGTCCTGCCACTGGGGGGTCATCCTGACCCACGGGTTTCTGCTGGTGGCACCCACCAGCTACTTTATCCCATTCTCTTGGAAATGGTTATTTACAGAAACACCTGGCTAGGTTTGTCCCTGTGGCAGCTGCTTTGCTCCGGGGGTGCGCAGGAGGGCCTGTCCCCACTGTCATAGCCCAAAGGACACGGCTTTCCGAGTGACAATCACATGGTCTCCGTTTTGTTTCGCCTCTCTTCCTAGGCCATTTATTAAGCTGAAAGAGAACGGGAGGTCAAATATCTCCCGTTCTTCCTCGAGCACCAGCAGCTTCAGCAGCACGGCGGGGGAGAGCGAGACCCTGGAGGAGTACGACAGCGTGGTAGGCACCAAACCCACCCCGCAGCACGCTCGGGCTCAGGACCCCGCAGCTCCGCACGTCCCTCAGCTTCCTGCTGCCTCCGGACCCTCGGGTGGTCTCTGGGGGGGGGGGGGGGGGGCCCTCGGCGCCCCCCGGGGCGCCTTGCCCA